TCATTGTTTACCTTAAAACATTCGTTATTAATGTATCGGCGAATTTTTATATTATCTTTGAACAAAATTCTTTATAATTTTTATCATAAATCAAGAATAACATTTTTTTTTAACCTAGCTATTTAACAATTATTTTAACACAAATCTATTTAACTATAGTACTATTATTTTTAATTTAATATTAATTTTATAAACATAAAATTCACCTACACTTTTTTATTTTCAATTTGTTTTTGATTCATTCAAGTTTTTAGATCATCTTTGTCATACCTTGTACCGTTTGTGAACTTACTAAAATAAAATCCTTTGTTAATCATAATTTATTCCCTTAATTTTCCTTTATATATATTTAAATAACTAAAACATTATTATTGATTTAACTTGAAACATTAAAGTATATGTCAAACTAGTTGAAACGAGGTTTTGGTATAACAATCGTCAATAAAAACTTTAACATCATCAATTTTTAATTATAAGGGTGTTGCAAAATTCTGTTGAAAAGAAAATATTTTTTTCTTCACTTTCTTTTTAGTAAATTTTTTAAAATATCTTTTATTTAATTCTATAACCTCTTCTTTTTTTTAAGTTTAAAAAATTGCCACCTATTTCTTTATTTTTAACATTTTATATTTTTTGCTTGTTTATTCACGTTTTTGAGTAAAATTGTATCTAAACTGGTGCCAATTTTGTAAATATTTAATAAAAATTTTGTATATTAATTAAAAACAAAACAGTTTAGAATATTGAGAATCGAACATAATAAAATGAACTGAGATTTATGATAAAATCCTGTACACATTCAATGAATATCTTAGTAAATTATAAAATATTTAAATAGAAATATAAAAATAAATTTATTTATAATTAATATACCACAATCAATTATAAATGATCGATTAAAGTCAAAGTTCTAATTAGATATTAGTATTCTACTAACTTTTTTTAGATATAAAAGAAAGATATTAAAAAATTTACCTTAAAACATATAAATTTTATTAAAAACTTAGTTTATAAAATCAAACCCAAATAAATTACACTCAAAATGAAAAAATACAAAATATTTAAAAACAAATTTTATTTTTTTCTTAATTAAATGTTAATTTATGAAAAGAGTTTTATAAAAATTGATATAAATTTTAACTAAAAACTAGAAATTATTTTTACCCTTTGTTTAATTTATTTATAAAATGTTTTAATCAAAAAGTGAAGGCAAACTTTAAAAAATATTTATTAATGATAATAATACTTGTTTAGATATGAAAAATGTATTAAAAAAAGAAGCTTCCTTAAAAATCAGGTAAGTTTTTACTCAAAATTAAAAATATTTTTCAATTAAAAACATTAATTATAAAACTTAAATTTTTTAAATGTATTTATTAAAAATTAAATGAATTTCGAAGTTTTTTTCAAAAAATTCAATTTTAAAAACATGGAAATATGTAAATTTTGTATTTTTTACCACTAAATAAATTAAGGAATTGGTATTTACAGACAAAGTTATTTACTATCCTTTGTATTTTAATTTAATTAATAATTGTTTGTAATAATTAAATTATCTCTTTAAAAATTTATATCCAATAATTCTTACTGTTTAAAATGACATATGTCATTGTTAACAAAAACTTTGCGATAATAGAAATAAATAAGAATGTTTCACAATTTCAAAATTATTTTGTTGTGTTTTTAAATTTTTAAGTTAAATAGATAAATTATTGTTATAATATTATATGTTAAAAACACAATATGAACAATTTATTTCTTTTATATATAAACTTATAATCAATATAAATAAAAATTAATATTATTAAATCATAATCTACAATAAATAACTAGTATTTTAATAAAAATTACAATTATAAGAATTTAAATAATATGAATTGTAAAAAAGGTCATTGGAATACAATATAATTGGAAACATCAAGGAAAGAAACGTATCCAGTAACTAAATAAAATTCAATATAATTTTCATTAATTTGTAATATTATATGTTCAACATCTTTAAGTATATAATATTAATAAACATTTGAAAATTTTTTAAAAATTATAGAAAAAATTGGGATATTGTTTGTATTATTTTCATAATTTATAGAGAATATCACAGAAATATTTTAATATAAAAAA